CGATGAGGATAAAGATGGTTCTCTAAGCTAAGCTGAATTGATCAAGGCGACAAGCGTTTACACCACGTTAATGTGCCGTAGCAATTTGATGTGGCACCAGAACGAAAGTTACACCAGGTCGAAGAGCACAAAAAGATGAGGGCAATAGTCCGATTATAAATAGTGTAAATAAAGATTCATTGTAAAAATGAAAAATTAATAAAAGTTGATTAACTTTCATCTTAGTTTGTATTAGTAAAATAAAAAAAAACATGCGTTTTCAAGCATTGTTACATATATGGCTCTATACATACAATTTTATGCATCTATTTTATACGTGCATATGTATGTCACTGTAAGTATGCATGTATGTGTGTGGGTGTGTCCGATAGTTAATATGCGACGGTATATGCATTTTACTTTACGCGACTGTGTGTTTGTTTATTTCTTTGTATGTGTGTTTTAACGAGGGACTGAGTATATATGTTAATTTTATGCACGCGTGTTTGCTTATCTGCATGCGTTTCTGTTTATCAGTGCGTTTTTCTTGATGTGAGTTTGACAGGGTAGCGTGCAATTAAATGTGTCTTAATGTGTGTGTTTATGTACTTGCGATTATGTCTCTGTATGTATTACGAATCTCTCACGGTATGTGTGTGTGTTGTGTGAGGTACGCACGCGCATGTACGTGTGTATGCTTGTGCATGAATGTTCATATCTACTGTAGTTATCAATGCTTATAAATTTGTATCACTCACTGAATTGTTGTCTGTGCAAGTCTGTCACTATTTTTGTATGTCTTGGTCCCCGTGTGTGTCTGCGTGTCTTTCACTTATTATACTCACATTAATTATTCACGCACCTTACGATTGGATCGATGTTGGACGAACAGATGAACTGCCATGGATCTCACCGAGCTGACCTATCGATTATGCAAATCCACAAGCCTAAACTTACCCTGAGTTTCTCATCGTCACAGCTTCGGCTCGCCGTGCTTGTTACTTAAAAACCGAGCACACTTTCATAAGAGCTATTGTTTCTCTTAAGTTCCCTACAGGTATTTGTCCAACGTCGGCTGCATTGTAATGAAGATCTTGTTATATTTATAGAAATTATATGAACTTTTGACAGAGGCTATCCGATCGTCTCATCGGAAATATTGCAATTTCCCTCGTTTCCATGCTTTGTTCATTCAACGATAGACCGTCAAAGGCCACTAGTTTACGGGTCATATCGCAGTCAGTTTAATAAATGCAGTTATCAATGATTATGAAGAGACGCCCTGGGACTCAGGGATGGATGGAGGTGCACATAGATACACGTAAAAGCATCTCTGAAACCAACCAATGTTTGATATTTAAGTAACAGCCGCCAAGTAAATGTAGTGCTTATCAAATTCGTTGCCATAAATTGTCAGAAGGAGGCATTGATATATGCATTTAAATTTAAAATATTCAAAACAAAAATCTATTAAGAATAATTACCCTTTGTAAGTAAAAGAATATATGTATAGTTAAAGGGAAACTTTTCAATATACTTTCTATAAAAGTGAAGAAGCTACTTGTGGTATGTTTGTAATATTTTGTTAAATACTGTATAAGAACAGGAAAGTTTATTTTCATTGCATTTTCATTCATTTTTATTTTATGTATTTTTATTTTATTTTATGTAATTTTATATTGTTACTATATATATTTTATTGAATTTTAGCATGTTACTATATTTTTTACAGTATTTTTACCCTTACTATATATTTTACTTTTAGCTGGATTCTCTATCTTAACTTGTTACTGTAATTTACTATATTTTATTATGTATTTTAGTATATTATTGTAACTTTAGATCTTTTTTTCGCAACCTGTTTTTCTCGCGCCCCTTATCAGATATTTGTGCGGGCTAAACCTCCTTTTGTTAAAATCGCACTGGTTTAATGGAACAAAATAATTCAACGGAAGTAATGTCATATATTTAATTTTCTGCTTTATAGCAACGCCAATCAGTGGTGAAAACTAAGGCGAAAACAGTCGATAGGCAGTCACTGCATCAGAATCTACTACTGGATATTAGTTTGCAGGGTTTTACACCATGTCTTCCAAAAGCTAACCAAAATATTAAGAAACAGAAAAAAAATTGTTAAAAAACAAGGAAAAATGTATTGAACTGTTATGTAATATCAGTTCTCTTATAGGGGCAGTGAATGCTGAACAATCTCATCACGAATGAAGAAGAGACTAGAAGCAACTGAAATGTGGTTCTGCAGAAGGATGATGAGAATACACTGAACCGAATATATGAGCAACGACGAAGTTATAAAATGGAAACGAAAAGGACACCTAACATCAAGAAAAGAAATTTGAAATTTCTAAGGCATATATTGAAGAAATTGAATATTGACAAGACAGATTGAAGGCATGAGGGACAGTGAAAAACAAAGCATAACCTACATAGCAAGTATGAGTGAATAAATGGCGGAACGGGGTTTAGGATTGATAACAAAATGACAAAATTTATTAAGAGCTACAAAGGACAGAAAATTGTGGGGAGATATGGTTGCCAATCTTCTGAAGAGACACAGTATATAGAAGACTGGCCTCTAAATGTTTACAATGCATCTAAATGGATCATATACTAGCAGGCTTCGCCCGCTCGCTATCGCTTCGTAAAGTAACTTGAAATTGTTGAAACAAAAGTTTTAAATGAACATATCATTCATAAATTGGTTTGTTATATTTAAGGAAAGTTTTACAAATAGATACCAACTTGTTGAAGACCAAGTAAAATGCGAATTTCAAACTTTTCTGCACTATATAAGTCAACGTTCCTAAACAGAACTATTTCTATATGAAAATCAAAACAATCCTCGAATAAAAGAACAGTAAGGAAAGACACTTAATGAAATAAACTTTTTAAGAATCAACATGCAAATTAATTAAACAGGAAGAGTGATATTACCTGAAAATAGATAATATATATAACAGAGATATCGAGATTTTAGTGTGTAAATTACTATAAAGTAGTTTGTAAAACGTTTATTTATCATCTTTCAGTAGCGTCTCTGTCTTTGGGAAGAGTGCTCTCAGGAGAAACTCTGTCAAAGGACAGAGTCGCAACTGAGGAAATTATGCTGAGAGGTCCGTCCCTAAGGAACAGCTGCCCAAGGACGCACCTTCTCATTGCACCGAGGCCAACGAAACAGGTGTTTACAGGGGCTCAGTCAATTGTTGTTCCTAGCCCGGGTGTACACGCCCGGTCTTCTCACATTAAACAGACCTTGTTTCAGAAACTGACCTCGTGTGTGTGTATGGGGGGGTAAGTAAATACAAATTACTATAAAGTAGTTTATTTATCAGAGTCGCAACCGAGGAAAATCATCGTGAGAGGTTCCCAGGGGTATAGCTTCTCGAGACCGCGTCCTCTCATTGCACCAGAGAGAGGCGTCAGTGCTCGCACCGAGGCCAGCGCAACCGACCCCACCTTTAAAACTGACCTGGTGTCGTATCTCGTCTTAGTGGGGAGGCAGAGTAAATAGCGTGTGAAAATTACTATAAAGTAGTTTGTAACATCCTATTTATCATCTCTAAGTTGTGTCTCAATCTTCGGGCAGAGTGTACTCAGGGGCGGATTCGTTAAATGAAAGAGTCGCAACAGAAAAATATACTGAGAGGTACCGTTCCTAGGGAACACCTGCCCGAGTCCGAGCCCTCTCATTGCACTATAGAGAGGGATCGGTGCTCACACCGAGACCAACGCAAACGACGTTTGCAAAGGCTCGGTCAATTTTTGTTCCTAGCCCCGCTGTACGCGCTCGGGCTCCCCACATTAAATCGACCTTGTTTTACAACCTGATCTCGTGGAGGGATTGAGCAAATAGAAATTACTCTAAAGTAATTTGTATCACCCTATTTATCATCTCTCAGTTGCGTCTCTGTCTTTGGGCAGAGTGCACTCAGCGGCGGCTGACAGAGTTGAAGAACAGAATTGCAACTGAGGAATATTATAGTGAGAGGTACCCAGCCCTGGGGAACAGATGCCCGAGTCCGAGCCCTCTCATTGCACTATAGAGGGGGATCGGTGCTTGCACCGAGGTCAGCGGAACCGGCGGTTGCAGGGGCTCGGGGAATTTTTGTGTATGCCTTCGGACTCCCCCACATTAAAGCGACCTTGTATCATAATGCAACTTCGTGGGGCGTCGAGTAAATACGAAATTACCATTGTAACATGTTTATTTATCATGTCTCAGTTGCGTCTCTGTCTTTGGGAAGAGTGCACTTAGGGGCGTCTTCGTCGTAGGACAGACTCGCAACTGAGGAAAATTATACTGATAAATTCCCAGCCTTGTGAAACAGCTGACCGAGTCATCCCTTTACACTGGACCAGTTGAAGGCAACGAGGATGGATAGTATAATATATTAATATATATTTTTAACCTCGCATAATCTGGCAGTCCTGAATCTAAGCTCAATGAAAATCGTTCTTTGCGCTTAAACTTTCTAGGGCATTTGAATGAGCTATGAATCATTGACATCAGTCCAGTGGGAGCGGAGTATTTGCTTGGGAAGAAGCACGCACAAACACACACACACACATATACACTGTACTTTATATATAAGATACAAGAACAAAGATAAACTAATGCGTATATAAAATATTCTGTCTCGTCGAAATTAGGCTACAAAGGGTTAAAATTTATTTTACTTCTCTATTAAATCTGTAGCTCCCATTAACTCATCCTAAGCACTTACTGCCCACTTGAGAGTTCTGCTTTAGATGAATGAAAATCGATTTTTCTTTACGGTTTTAGTAGCAACTTAAAATTGCTTCTTCACAACTAAAAAAACGGCAAAATATTTCTGGAAGGAAACAAAAAAAAGTTGAATAATGGAACGGTTGATTGATGAACGTAGTAAATAGAACGGGGAAATATTGTTGCAGTCGTCGAGGAATATTGATAGGAATCTTTTAGAAGCCAATTAAATTTTGCTCTCACAAATTTATTTCTCTTTTTCTGCGATATTGTGGCTTACAGTCATATCACATAGAAACACCGGTCCTCGTTACGATCACCGAAGTTAAGCAACATCGTGTCAGGGCAGTACTTAGATGGGCGACCGCTTGAGATTACCAGCTTGGATGTTCATTTAGTGGAATGGGTAACGGCTCGAAATTGGAAAACAGAGAGCCAAATTCTATTCAATTTGGGAAAGGTATGGATTCAGCTCTTCTCCGCTAGCAACTGGTTAAGTAGTAGAGCATCTGTTAGTAAATCATTATCTCTCTTGCCTCCAATATATCTCGTGAGTATCCCTTTTTCTAAGCACTCTTTCCTCATTATGTACCCTAGCAATTTCAACTGCCTCTATATGTCCTTTTTGTTTCCATTTTCTCTAAAACATCGCCATTGCTCATTCCATGCGATTCTAAGATATATATTGAACTGAAAAAATAAAGCATATGATTCCATGTTCTTTTCGCATTTGTTAGTTTCATCATATTTGCTTTTCATTGCAGCAACGTTTCAGTTAATACACACTGCACATTCCTTAAGTGTATTGTGTATCTGGTAATCGTTGAGTAATGTCATGTATTTTTTCATCATCGCAGCTATAAACATTTTACATAGGCACACACAAAAGAAATCTTAATTTTTGATAGAATTTATTTTACTGATATTTTCTTATTTTACGTACTATATCCCTTCAGAATGTAGGCTAATTATGGCTCTCTCCAACTTCCTATCCGGTTGTCTCTTTGGTATCCCTTCAAGTCACTCTTCTATTCATATGCATTTTCCCGTCACGTCAGTTACTCGATGTTTTCCAATGCTGCATTTGCCCTTAATCTGCCCTACGAGTAAGAAAATCTGAAAACTCTCTTTCTTCGTTATATATTCCAAAATTTCTAACTCTTCCTTTCTGATAGTATGTATTTTTTCTTTAATCTTCCTTGTTGATTATACGACAGGGAATAACATAAATAAACCTATTTTATTCTCAAAGTTATTCTGCATAAAATCACATCTCTGTTGCCTCAAATCTCCTTTTCGTTAGTGAGAAAATTTCCCGATATTCATTGTACATGGGAGCGATGATATTACATAGAATTTAGTTAACTTTTACAGCAACGCTATCCTAAGAAGTGTGATTAGGATAAGCAGACGATACTGTGTTGATGGAATTTCAAGTCGAAACAAAGTATTAAGAGACAGAAAAAAAATTTCCAAGGACTGCTGCTTTGTGGAATAGACTTCTGAAAGGGTGTTTGTCCGATCACTCCAAGTCTAGGGTTAATAATTATCTTTCCTGCATAACCTCGTGAATTGCACTTCTTTACTTTAGTTACCCTCATACACCACACAGTAATCCTGTGAACATTACTAAAAGACAATTTAAAAAGGAGCGTTCCAACACAGTAAATTATATATTACTTGGATTAATTGTTCAAAGATTAATTAAGGTTAAGTCTTAAAGTAGGAATAAAATCTTAGGCTATACGCTCTCACTTTCTCCGAAGATTCGGGGATTTAGGCCCTGACCAACTCTAATTCACACTAAGGAACTTTCCTTCAGAGATTTATGCGAGTATATAGCTTATCCGGGAAAATATACCCGGACTTGTATATAAATAAAGACGAATAAGCAATGAGAAATACGATGTTTATGTAATCTCATTTGTTCTAAAAAGAATTGAAGTTGAGCATTGAACATTTAAAACCCCTTTTTCCATTATATCCATTTCGCCGCTCTGTGGAACCGACTCCCAAGGGGATGTTTCCACAATCATGACTATCTTAACATCTTGAAGCCTAGGATTAACCTCCTATTCGCATAAATTGCTTCTAACTGTAACCATCTACCTCGAGTGACACCCATGCCTTGTACCCGGTGAAACTCACTGTCAAAAAAGTACATTTAATGATATTAATAGATTTATTAATATTATATTTTTAGGTTTCAGACTGGACGAATTTGTGGACACTTGTGTATGTGTATATATATATATATATATATATATATATATATATATATATATATATATATATATATATATATAGTTAAATTCCCAGATGAATTCTGTGGGCAAGACAGATTGGTATCAAATGACAATTGGAAAAAATCTTACATTTTGCCGACGCGTTTCGTCTTCCGACTTTTTCAAGGCAAAAAGGAAATCGAAATGTTTTTGTTGTTATAGTTACATTAAAAATCCAAATTTAAAAAGATAGACGCTTCTGTCTAAGCCTTTTATTTTCTGGTTAATGTAAATTTACTAAGTATGCATCTCTAATAAGCTAAGTGCTTCAAAAAGAATAAAATATGAGAAATTAGAAAAATGTTTTCGTGTGATGCATTTCATCTTTTAGGACTTCATCGGACTAAGTTTGTTTATGTTGCTACGTACGAACGGAGGATGGGGGGAATTTAAAATTTAAAATTTTTTTTACATATATAATCTATCCGATTTCATTTATATTCCTTTTCCTTTTGTTTAATCACTTTTGTTATTAGATGCCATATACAATTGATGTATTGTTTTGTAAAATGCATTAGATACTCAATGAAGCAAGACTGACCACAATTGTTATATATAAAAATAACAATTCTGATCCAAGGTGAAAAAAATCACTAAGACAAAAATGATTAGAGAAGGTCTTGATTGCAAGGTAATTTACAGAAAATTTGCCCCTAGGCTCTTACAACATTTCTCCATTCCTGACAAATCTATTATAAAAATGGCAGATATCTTATAACAAAAGTGATGGATTCAAAAAGACAAATAATCTAAATGAAATTGGCAAGATTATATATATATATATATATATATATATATATGTGTGTGTGTATGTGTGTGTGTGTGTATGTGTGTGTGTGTGTGTGCGTATGTGTGTGTCTGTGTGTGTGTGAATTAAATTTAAAATTCTCAACATCCCTCGTTCGTGCTCATGTGTAGTCGTGCCAATATAACAAATTTAGTCCGATGAAGAACAAAATGCGCTCCACGAAGAGTCTCTTTCTCTTTCTCTCTCTCTCTCTCTTTATATATATATATATATATATATATATATATATAGGAGCAGGGTCCGACAGAAAATGTGATATATAGAAGTTGTTGCTAAAAGGTTCTTGGTTTCATCTGCTTCTCTCAAAAGCTCTGCAAGTGTTCAAATCATATGCTTTTAGGATGAATGATTTCATTGGCTCTATTCATTTTCAGAACCTTCTCTTATATATATATATATACTCGCAGAAGTACCTGGTGTTGTGCGGGATTAAATAAACAATTGCATAAAAATGTAAGCATTTTATAAACTTCTTTATTAACACAAACCATAACAGTTCGAATACAATTTTCTAATTATCTTCTCATATTATCCTAATTTAATAAAGTTGTAAATACAGCAATTCAATTGTCTAATTTTTTTTAATATGAGAAGAGAACTAATGGTCAGCAAAATTGAGAAAGAGCATTGAAACATCTTCAAAAAGAACTTCTTTATAAACAAAGTACTTTTACTTTCTGATACAGTGAAAACAAAGAAATTATTTTTGATTCCTACTCTCGAACATTCATCATAAAGTTATCAATGGGAAAACCATGGCTCTTCAAGGTGTATACTAGCAACAGACAGGGTACGTCCTTGGGATTTATTTTGAAGTGCTCAGATTCTGTGATAAACTTGTCCCTGTACTTTGAAAGTAGGCATAAATTGTCCCTCTTGAGTGATCTTAGCACCGAAGGAAAGAATCCAGATGGCATTGTTGTATTTCCAGATATTTTCTAAAGTTTTTATGGTCTCTATTCACAAGAAGTTTCTTCAATAAATCTGCTGGATCAGGATAATGTTCAAATCTAACCTTGCCATTGGAACAATACAGTTCAATATGTTCTTTATTCCACTTTTCTGTACCAAAGTGACAGCAAAAATTACAATATGAGCACTGGTTTCTGAAGACATGAGGTTTATAATACCCAGAAATTAAGGTGGTGGAGAACTTGGAGTGGGGAATTAACAGGAGATAACTGACTACTGGGTGAGCGAAATAAAGGGTTCAGTTCGACATTCCAACCACCTGAAGAAGGCCGGAGCGTACAACGGCCGAAACGTTGTGATAAATATGGCGACAAAGATGAAGACAATAGTCCGAATAATGTAAATAATGTACATAATATCTCATCTCAGAAATATAGACAGACTCCGAAGGAAATTTAATTATTCATTTCGATCATAATTTATTTCGTGAATAATAGACACATAATAAGAATAGTTCACGATATAAATTATGAACGAAATGAATAATTCAAGTTTTCTTCTTCATATATATATATATATATATATATATATATATATATCACCCTGGTGATCCCATGTGGTGAAACCTAAGTAGGTAGTTTCTGGATGGGGTTAGGGTTATGATTTATTTATTTTACCTTTGCTCTAGTTAGGGTTAGGGTTAACGAGCACTCTTCGTTTTAACTTATTACTAGCTGTTTTTTTTTTCTTTGTACTAGAGATTTAAGGTACTGGGCGATTTCTTTCGCCCTGTTCGGAGGTTTCTGGTTCTTTCTTTCTTTTTCAATTTTTTTTTCCTCGGATGGGAATTTGTATGAAAATAGTGCTATCCAGGTTTTTTCACCCACTGATTTACTTAATCTCTCTCTCTCTCTCTCTCTCTATATATATATATATATATATATATATATATATATATATATATACATATATGACTATGACAAAAATAATCTCCCATATGCTATTAGTTTCATCTAAATGTTCCTTCATATTAGAGTATCATGTTTCCCGATATGTACGCGTAAATATGTATCTACAGTGTATTTCTGCTCATGCGCACATCAATATGTATCCGTGTCTTCTGCCGCCGGCGATTCCATCAAATAATCTCAGTAGCAACTCCCTCACTCTGCTTTCTTCCAATTACCGGAGCGCAACGATCCGCGAAGATTAGCCTTTATAAACGAAAAGTTGAAAAGGTGTTGAAATTTGAATAGCAGGACATATTGCGAGCGCCTGGTTGTCGAGGAATTTTGGCAGCAGAACCTATAAATTGAAGACGCAAATCAGCTCGTCTGGCAGACCTACACCATCATCGCCAACTCAAGCAAAGTTCA